TGAATTGTCTTGGAGAAACGCCACGATTTGTAGAGACAAAGCGAAAAGATACAATAAACGTTCCAGGGAAGCCGATAAAAGACCTGCTTTGCAAATGTACCATGTAAAAGACATTTACAGGAAACTCTGGTATGTCTTACCATGGAAAAAAAGGATGCTCATATCTCCTGTGTGAGTGTTTTTATTGAAGTGTGGCGTATATATATATGTGTGCATTTTTGAGGGAGCAACACTTTAGTTTGGGTCATGACTGTGTCTAATAACTCACAGTGCCAACGACGGATGCATTAAGATGTTTTGTAGCTGCTCTCCTTGAGTTTCTGCCCATAAAGGGGAAAAAAAATCAAAGAACATTCTCATTTGTTTCTCTAGTAATAATACATGGAAAGGTTTTTCATAAGTGTCCCAATTCTCAGGGTTTTTTTTCCAGAGAAAAGCACCCTAGTAATCCGTGGATCTCCGAGCCCCAAACTGGACTTAAAATAGAACCTGCTCAATGTTTCTGAAATAAAATTAATAATTAGTTTACATAATATTTATTATGTAAAATAGCAATTATTAATTTAATTAATTTGTAGATCAATCGAGTAAAAAAACCTTGAACTTATATACACACATTTATTTATTTATTTGCTGATTTTTGTTACTGCTTTATTGTATTTATGTATGCATTGCTTTTTCCATTTAGTTATATAATTTTATTTGCTTTTTCCATTTATTTTATATTTTTGTTTTATATATAATTTTTATTACCTTTTATTACCATATTTATTTGTATTTTATATTTACATTTTATATTATTTAATTTTATATTTTTGTTTATTTATTTATTTATTACTTGTTTTACTGACCATGAAACTTTATATTGAACCAAATAATCTTTTTAAATTTTTTTAATTTAACAGGCACTTTTATCCAAAGCAATTTCCTCTCTTTTTAATAAGGAATATATATAATTTTATGTCCTTATGAATATTAGAATATTAGTATTATGAATGGCCAAACAGAAAATAATTATTAGAAATCTGAAAAATCCTAAATATAAAGTTATAATTCTATAATTCTATAAATAAATGACTATATATATATATATATATAGTCATTTATTTGGTTTTATGGTTTATATATATATATTTCTAAATATATGGATACAAACCTGAATATATAAATACAAATTTTGGATGTATCATACATGTGTGTATATATTTGTGAACCAGAGTATTGCCAAGGCTGATGAATTGGCCCATATTTTTAAATGTATATGTACTTCTGTATATTCAAAACTTACATTTATATATTCAGATTTGTATCTATATATTTATATTTACAAGTATATATTCACTATTTACATTTGTTTATTCAGAATTGTAACTTTAAATTTTATTTGACCCTCTAACTCTAGCACTTTCTTTTCTATTTTAATTCTACTTTATCTATATTTATCTTTTTTTTTTAAACAAACACAATCTTTCTATTTTTTCTATTCTATCTACTTGTTTTTCTTTGTGTGTGTGTGTGTGTGTGTATGTGTGTGTGTATAATATGGCAGCATCATGCTGTGGGGGTGTTTTTCAGCTGCAGGGACAGGACGACTGGTTGCAATCGAGGGAAAGATGAATGCGGCCAAGTACAGGGATATCCTGGATGAAAACCTTCTCCAGAGTGCTCAGGACCTCATACTGGGCCGAAGGTTTACCTTCCAACAAGAGAATGACCCTAAGCACACAGCTAAAATAACGAAGGAGTGGCTTCTCAACAACTCTGTGACTGTTCTTGAATGGCCCAGCCAGAGCCCTGACTTAAACGCAATTGAGCATCTCTGGAGAGACCTAAAAATGGCTGTCCACCAACGTTTACCATCCAACCTGACAGAACTGGAGAGGATCTGCACGGAGGAATGGCAGAGGATCCCCAAATCGAGGTGTGAAAAACTTGTTGCATCTTTCCCAAAGACTCATGGCTGTATTAGATCAAAAGTGTGCTTCTACTAAATACTGAGCAAAGTGTCTGAATACTTAGGACCATGTGATATTTTAGTTTTTCTTTTTTAATAAATCTGCAAAAATGTCAACAATTCTGTGTTTTTCTGTCAATATGGGGTGCTGTGTGTACATTAATGAGGAAAAAAAATTAACTTAAATGATTTTAGCAAATGGCTGCAATATAACAAAGAGTGAAAAATTTAAGGGGGTCTGAATACTTTCCGTACCCACTGTATATATTGTTGCTCTTTTGTTAGTTTTGACTGCTTTTATTGTCCTCATTTGTAAGTTGCTTTGGATAAAAGCGTCTGCTAAATGACTAAATGTAAATGTAAATTCAGGATTTATCAATATATATATTCAGATTTTATATAATTTTCTCTCTCGTCGATGTAACTCTATGGGATTTCTTTTGGCTTGTTTAATGTCCACCGGGTGAAAACTGTTAGTACAATAACTTAACTAAATCTCCTCACATGGACAAACCTCAGGTATGGGCAGTATTGATGCCTGCTTTAGCCTTAACAAGACTCTGGATAAGTTGATGGAGGCTGGAGGCTGTGGGAGTCTACAGAGGTCTGGCATGATGTTTTGCCAGGATCAGAGAGCCCAGGCTGGGCAAGACAACAGCAGGATTAGCGCATGCCAGCGCACGAAGTGGGCAGCATCTAAAATCGTGCTTTTCCCCTCAAAAACCTTCGAGAGAGAAAATCTTTGACGATACAAACTGATTCATGGACTGAGCTTTAAGGGACTCAATGTGTTTGTGTGCTTTTATACGCCAAACCTTCCACCAGATCTTTATCTGCAAGCACGTCGGCTTCCTTTTGTTCGAGTATCGGTTCTTTTAGTATGTGTGTGGGTTTGTCTTACTGTTTGTTTGTGTACGTGTTTGCTCGCCTAGCTCCATGTAGGAGGTTTTCGGCTTGTCATCTGTCACCTGCCTGTGACAGCCAGCGAAAACAGCAAGACTCCAACCTGCAGATACAATTACGAGATAGACTCCCATGATTCCCGGTTGAGATAGACGTTTCTGGAGGTCACATGATCAGGAATCGAGAAGAACAATGCAGAAAGGAAAATCCAGCTTTGATTGAATTGACATGCCGTCCATTTAACCCATCAGATGAGAACAAATTAATTTCGAGCGATTAATCGACTGTGCGGCAGCAAATGAACTGACTGTCTCATTCGTTTTGATGCGCTGGACGGCTCATCTCTCTTTTTGTCCTTGCGCTCGTCTTTGACTCGGAGCAGGTGAGCGGCCCGCTGTAACGTACACTGGTTATCCGTGTCCAATCTCTCAGACAGAATCTTGTGTTTCGCCCTTGGCCACAGCGAGTCCGATCCGCAGCATCTATTATTTACTGCCGGCTCTTTGTCTCTCTCACACTTGATTTGTACTAAAGACTTTCTGCCTGTGATAATGTAGAATGGGCTTGTCAGACATTCATATACTTGGTGACCCTAAAAAAATGCAAACCTGGTTGAGGTTTTGGATTTGTGTAATTAATGAATTATAAAAGCCTTTATTTATTGAAAGGTAGTTATTTTTCATATCTAGCTATGTTTTGTTGAATAGTTTAATTATGTGCATCTATTCTCTTTTCAGACAAAATCAAAGATCATTACATTTGAGAATATATTATTCAAAACATTCACTATGGGAACTTAGTTGTTCTATTTGTCTGTCATGTGTTCTGTCTATCATTCTGTCTGTCATTCTGTCTGTGTTGCTCAGTCTATTTATCTGTCTGCTGTTTTGTCCTCAAGTCAATCTATCCTTTGTTCTGTCCATCAATCTCTTTGTCGTTTTTTTCTGTCTATCTTTTGTTCTGCCTGTCTGTTCACTGTTCTATCATTCCATCTTTCTGTATGTCTGTCTATCTATCCTTTGTTCTGTCATTTTGTCTGTCTATCTATCCATCCTTTGCTCTATCAATCTTTCTGTTGTTCTGTCTACCTGTCTCTTATTCTGTTCTGTCTCTCAGTCAGTCCTTTGTTCTGTCTGTCAATCTGTCTGTCGCTCTGTCATTCTATCTGTCAATCCTTTGTTCTGTCTCTCATTCTGTCTGTCTGTCAATCTTTTGTTCTGTCTGTCATTCTGTCTATTGATCCTTTTTTCTGTTGGTCAATCTGTCTGTCGCTCTGTCAGTCAATCTGTCTGTCGTTCTGTCTGTCAGTCCTTTGTTCTGTCTGTTGCTCTGTCAGTCCTTTGTTCTGTCTGTCGATCAGTCTGTCGTTCTGTCTGTTGATCTGTCTGTCGCTCTGTCAGTCCTTTGTTCTGTCTGTCAGTCCTTTGTCTGTTGCTCTGTCAGTCTTTTGTTCTGTCTGTCGATCTGTCTGTCTCTCTGTCAGTTCTTTTTTCTGTCTGTCAATCTGTCTGTCAATTCTTTGTTCTGTCTGTCGATCTGTTTGTTATTCTGTGTTTATCTATCCTTTGTTTTGTTCATCAGTCTGTCTGTCGTTCTATCTACCTGCCTGTCTATTTTTCCATGGTTCTATTTGTCTGTTTATCATTCTGTCCATCTTGATCTGTTTTTCTATCTTGAGATTTGATCTGCTCAGCCAGCCCTCTGCAACTGTTTTACCACAACAACAACAACAAAAAAATATGCTTGCCTTTAAAAGCTTCACGAAAGCAACCTCACATGTTGTTGAGATTTCACTGCTGTTTACATCCTGTATAATGCTGGGAAAAATGCTGTGTTTTTAAAAACTGCAGTAATAACTGAACATTTTTGTGCTTAATGTACACCACCCAGATGGTAGAGATGCCTCCGTCAGGTTGAGTTCAGTACAAATGTTTTTTGACAGGATATAAAGACATTTGAGAGGCCTGCTTTGAATATTGTAACCTATCAAGCCTTTGAAAGGGTTACTTGGTTCCTATAAACTGAAAAAAGAGTGAAAATGCACTTGCAGTCTTTGATCGTTTGATCATAATTAGTTTTGACATGACCAAAATGTATAATCAATTCACCGTTCTCTCTCTTTTTTTGTGTGTTTCTCCTTTAGGATGCTGGGGGAGCTCCACTTGACTGCGCTCCAATCTCTCCTGGCTGTGTGTCTGCTCTTCACTCTGGAACATGGTGAGTCATTCTCTCCTGAATCTCAGCATTCATCTGCTCTTATCCGTTCAGTCGTGGGAGCACGCTTGTCAGTCACATGCCCTCGTTGACTCAGTAACAACTTTTTCAAATCTCAAAATGTCCAAAACCTGCTGCTGAATTAGTGCAATTTTCACCCACAATAGATTAAACCAGTGCAACCTACACTCCTAAAATGAAGGTTCTTTATTGACATTGATGGTTCCATTAAGAACCTTTAACATCCATGGAACATTTCCATTGCACAAAAGGTTCTTTAGATTATTACAATGTATTAAAATGGTTATTTTAAGAACTGTTCATTGAAAGGTTCTTTCGGGAACCCAAAATGGTTCTTCTATGGCAGGGGTAGGCAACATCGGTCCTGGAGTGCCGATGTCCTGCAGAGTTTAGCTCCAACCCTGAGAAAAACCTCACCTGCCTGTAGCCTTAGTAATCCTGAAGACCTTAATTAGCTTGTTCAGGTGTGTTTGATTAGGGTTAGAGCTAAACTCTGCAGGACATCGTCACTCCAGGACCGACGTTGCCTACCCCTGTTCTATGGCATTGCTGTAAAAACCCTATTCTGGAACCTGTATTTTAAAGCATGTGAAAAAGCTTAAAATTACAATTCTGTCTTCATTTATTCACCTTCATGTTGTTCATTTCTTTTGTCAAACAAAAATGTTTCTCTTTGTCCATACAGTGAAAGTCAATGGGGACCAGATGTTTTGTTTGGACCCAATTGACTTTCATTGGATGCACAAAAAGTTCTCTAAAAATATAACTGTTGTTCTGGCTGTCTGTCATTCTGTCTATCTTTTGTTCTGTCTATAGATCTATCTATCTTTTGTTCTGTCTATAGATCTGTCTGTCTTTTTTTTCTGTCTATCGTTCTGTCTGTCTTTTTGTCTGCCTATCAATCTGTCTGTCTTTTTGTCTGTCTATCTGTTGTTCTGCCTGTCTAGCTGTGAAACTCAACGGTGACCTTTTTTTTGTGGACCCCATTGACTTTCAATGGATGCACAAAAAGTTCAAAACACTCTTGTTTTGCATTATTTTGTGTTCCACTGAAAAAAGTAAGTCATACAAGTTTGGAACGAGGTGAGTAAATGATGCCAGAATTTTCATTTTTTGGGGAACCATCCCTTTAAACAGGTTTTCTCTCATCTTTTCATCTTGTGGTAATTACCGTTGCACACCTTTCCCTGACCAGACACTGATGAGCCTTTTTGGACATCGCTGATAAATCCCCCTCGGCTGGATTCCGCCCTCCGCTGCTTCCATCTGCAGTAAATAGAGAGTGCGCGAGGAACACTTTCATCTGCAGAAAGCCTCATTTCCTCACATTGCCACCTAAAGACTTGTCATCACTCACTCTAATGCCTGCAACGGCTCTCAGCGGCGGTGATACGTGCCCACGTGCCGTGAAAAAGGAAGACGCTGACGCATAGCTTGTGCCGACTGAATCCTACTCCGTCAAAAGCCTTTTGTAGATGAAAACGCTTTGCGCTTCACCATGCAAAACCAGGTCCCAAGTCAGAACTTTTGGTTGCATGCACTGTTTCACAGACTGGCCTCTTCTGATTTCAGACGACACCGGGTTCTTATCGGGCACTTGCAGGGTTGCAGGCCGGGCCGCGGATTCTCTCGGTCACTGACCCGCTTGCTGCCATCTGCACCAGTTGCTTGGAGTCGGGTCTGGCACTTGAGAACCACACGCGCATTTCTTTTTTAGCTTCAGCTGCGATGAGCGAGACAGGCTGCGCATAATCTGCATGAAGATTTCTTCGCCCTCTTAGCTTCGCTCTCCATCGAATCCGCTCTCATGAGACGCCCGTGGTGTAAATAAGGACACTTTGTCGGCATGAGTGTTAAATATTTTTTTTTGCAGAATCCCTGCTTTCCTCATCTATCAACCAGGGCAATGTTGCAAGGGTCAACTTTACAAGTGGCTAGCTAGTTTGCAACATTTGTTCTATTTTTCATTGAATTTAACATAAATCTATTTTAGTTTAGTTTAGTTTATGAAAAAATATTGTAGTCTAAGTGGTGCATTTTAATATGAAAGTAATAACTATTGAGAAACTGTACCTGAGATTATTCAGTTGAAAACATATAAAAAAACATTGTATATTTCATTTTTAATATTAATATAAAATGACATTTAACATTTTATTTATTTATTTATTTGGTGTATTTTCATGCGAAACTATTGAGGAACTATCTGAGATTAGTCAGGAGAAATACATTAATACAATAAAGTTGAAAATTCAACAATTAGTTTATATTTACTTTTTAACATACATATAATAAATTAATTTAATTTAATTTAATTTAATTTAATTTAATTTAATTTAATCCCCGACACCGGGCGACGCAAGTATGAAAGTGCCTAGTTTAGATTGGTTTTGTTTTTTTGTGTTTGAAAGCCATTTGCTCATACATAATGCAATTAAAAATACTAATGCAACAAATTGGAAAATAGGAAAATTTGATATTTATTTATTTATTTAGCATTAAAACACAGGGCAAATGTGAACGTTTTTAAAAATGTCTTTATAATTTAATTCAATAAAGATTTGATGATTAGTTTTTATTTATTTAGTTATTTAGTGTTAAACACTTACAAAGGGGAAAGTTTTTTTTACATTGATTTTTAAATAATTTAATTTGATAAAGATTTATTTATTTATTTACCCTGACACAGTTTGGCTTGTCTTTGTGCTTGTAAGCCACTGAGCCATTTGTCTTTCATGTTCTTTCTCTTAAAATGTAAAATGCCAACATAATCAATGTACTTTATGCCCAAAGGGATTTAATTGTCACAAAAATGAGTTTATAGATGCACAGTATTCAATCAGTCTGCTATTTCCATAAATAATTAGTTTAAACATTACTAGTGCCAACTAATTTTAATGTTACAACACTCAAATATTTAGCCATGCATAAGTCACGCAGCTGCTGCTCCAGTTTATGTGGCCCCAGTTTATGGGACTTGGGTTGAGTTGCATCCCCGTATCACGCTAAATAAATGTGCCATTACCTAGCAGAGAGCAGGAAATGTAGTCAAGCCTCTGGACTCAGAGTATCTTTATGTATGTGCGTGTATTTGAGCAAGAGGCAGGAAGGAAGACAGGAGATATTGAGCTCAGACACCCTGGGCTCGGTTAATATTCATTGCGCGGTGAATATGGCGAGAACCTCTGGGGGGTTTCCGGGGGAGAGCATCTCATGCGAGACGCTTTCAGAAAGGGAATGTCATTAGGACGGCCCGCGTGCATTTGCCACCATATTAGCACACCTGTTCACTTTTAATCCAATGATTCCACTTCTCAAACACGGTTTTGGAGGCGGCCGTGTCCGTGATGGAGGAGGATGAAAGACATCATTGGAAGCCCCACTTAAGAGTGCGAATCAAATAAACAGTCCTTATTTGGTGGAAATGACGAATATGTAGATTTGCCCCGGGGCTACTGGCTCCTGCCGCGCACGTTTCCGTGAGTTTGTCACTAACGCTTTGGATATGTAGACACATGATTGTTTCGAGCTCAGTGGGCGCGTGCATTGCGAGCGCTTGTACACAATTAGACGCCGTGGGATAGTCTAGGCCAGTGGTTGAGTAACTGAAGGAAAGAACAGGGGGAAAATACTGACTCTGAATTCATTTATTTTATTATTTAATAATAACAACAATTATTATTATTATTATTATTGATGATAATAATAATCATTATAATAAATTGATATTATTTTATATTATTAACTGATAATTATTATTATTATTATTATTATTATTATACACATTAGTGTATGTAAACAATTTTTTTTATTAATGTTTAACAATAAATATTTGCCCACTGCTCACACTCTTCACTAAAGAGAGATTGTGATACACAAGTTGATTGTTCTTCTTCAAATAATTCATTAAATAATAATACATTCTTTATTTTATTGTTTAATTACCTAAATTAAATAGTAAAATAAGTAAATATTTTGTTCTTAGTCTCTTTTTTATTATTATTGTACACATAGGATATATGCAGCAAAAAAAAGTGGTTTTGGCCTTGTATGCCTGTAAATATTTGGCGACCGCTCACTCACTACAATGAAGAGAGATCACAGCACACTTTCAGATTCATCATTGTGTCGGCTGTTAACTTTGTATATCGGCTGCTGCAGCAAACATTAAAGCATGTTTAAGGAAGCTCACATAAACACCACCGAATAACGTCACTGTTAAGACGAAGGTTGTGTGAAGAAAGTAGTTGGCTTTTTCACTTGACAGTATCAGGCTCATGTTTTATTTTCATTTTATCCCACCCCCAACTTTATTATGTTTTACCATCATTAATTGCGGTGTTCCTTTCGGTCGGCGTGGTAATAAAAGGCCCATTACTTCATAAAATCCCTCAAATATCGCCGTTGAAACGAATGAATGAAATAACTCCAGAAAGCACGGCTCGTCAGCATAACCCCGGCCCGCAATCGATCAGTCATTCGGTGGCTGCTGGGTAATTGAAGACAATGGGGCCACTGTCAGCAAGCAGCCAATTACATTAGCCTGCAGAAAAAGAAAGAGAGACGGAAAAAAAGGTCCGTGTAAGAGATGCGTTCGAGCGCTGTTGCTTTGTGTTTCCTGTTGTGGATTGATAAAGGCTTCTGACAGCACTTAATGCATTTCAGGTGTTCAAAGACGACGGCAAATAGTCACAATACATCAAGCAGTCGCTGTATTTTTCACTAGTCGTTGGCCTTATAACCCTCTGCATTTTACCTTCTTTTTGGCTCGACCTCAGACCGACGAGGAAAGATTAAAAACAACGGCAGAATTTCAAACAAAAGACCGATCTCCAGGGGGTTATGCTTGTAAAAACATTTCTATCTAAATGCAGATTTGGTATATTTCGCTATGCTTCTTACATTCATTATTTACCCATGTGGGATCGAAGCAATTTTTTATTCCTTGACTCCGAGGCGTAATTTGGTTTTTAAGGAGGTAT